GACGTGACATGTTCGTACGAACCCTTTGTACGAACAAAAGTAAGAGAAATTTAGGATAAGAATACGAACATGTTCTTGCATGAGGCCCATTGTCTGGTTGCATCATGACCCAGTTTGGGCCAAGCTTCAGATGTAGGAAAGATGGCCTCACATTTGACTCAAATACTTTGGTCTATAGTACTACAATACACGGCCCTGTCAATGACTGCAAGGAGCCCAGATTCTGTGACTAAAAAATTGGCCAAAAACATTACCTTCCCACCACGGTGCTGACAATTTATACTGTACAAGCTTCTATGTTGGAGTCATTTGTTCAAAGGACATTGGGCCTCATGCAAGAATCGTTCATACGAACAGCTTTGTTCTTAAATTGTGAGTACATTTAGGAGAACTTGTGGCATTCACCAATTTTCTCGTATCCTAAGATTTTTTTCAGATACGAACAAAATTCACGTGTGGTCCAGACCTGTCGTATATTTTACGTGCAGTCGTCCGCTGTTATCCAGACGGATTTTCTTCACTAATAACTTTATATTTCGTTAGTTTAAAGATATTTTGAGTTGAAAATAAATCTCACTCTATGATTTTCTTGACAATAGGCTATTCTGCTTGAATTAGAGTTATAATTTTAAATGTAATAATTTAGACTAACAATATAAATTGTTAAAATTAAAATAAATTGGCTAATGCTGTTGTTTAACACTACGACATTTATATGAAGATGTCAAACTACAAAACAACTTCAGTTATGCATTAATTGAAGTTTAATTTGTCTCCGTATATAATTATCCTGCCAGATGTTTTTTTTTTATCAAATTTTATTTTGTTGAGATTTATTCAGCACATCAGCTATGCTATTTTCTCCAAAGTGTCCTTCTCCATCTTCTCTTATCCGTAGTCAGGTCGCAGAGGCAACAAGTCCAGGAGAGAAACTCAGACATCCCTCTCCCCAGCAACACCCTCCATGCCCTGGGGGACTCTGAGAAGTTCCCAGGCCAGAGGGGATACATAATCCCTCCAGCGAGTCCTGGATTTTCTCCAAAGTGCCAGACATATTTTGAAAACATTTTAAAATCCTTATTTCAGAACCCCAACTGACACCACTTGCGACCGCGTGGGGGTGGGGGTACGGTGTGGCTTCTGAATAAATGAAAATGATTTAACACAGTTGTTTATACTTTTAGCAGCTCTTTTTATTCCACAGCTGACCTGCTAAAAATGACAGATTTTCTTTTCTGGATCTCTGACACCAGGACTTCAATCTCCGAACTCGTAAAGTTCATCTTTTTAGTTTTTGCTGTCATTTTCATGAATGCACACTTCCTGTTATCTGAGGCAGGAAACGTAGCCTTATATGGTGTTTTTGGGGTGGTAATTATGCAATCTCCTCTCCTCATGTGCGAGTGCCTGATACGCATTCATCAGCTCCTTATTTACACACTTTTCCTGAAGACAGAAGAGTTTGTTGAATCTGACATGGTAGGTTCGTACAAACCCTGAGTACGAACAAAAGTAAGAAAAATTTAGGATAAGAACACGAACATGTTCTTGCATGCAGCCCATTGTTTCACACAATTTAGACTTATTTTTAGACAACTTTACAAACCAAAGTCATGTTGCTATCTTCATTTTTGGAGAAAACTTGTTTTCTTTTTAGAATTTGACATGTGGACATGTATACTAGATTAAGTGTCCCCATCTTCTCTTATAGTTGGAAACTGAAGCCAGCAMGACCCGGTTTACAGGAGTTGCCATGTTTTACTTTTGGAACCAGCATCTGCACAATAGCAATGTGGAGACGCAAGTCCTACCTGCTCCCCCATTCGTAGAAAATCAGGGTGAGCATGAGCTTTTTTAAACATGAAAAATCCTATTGCAGCTTATTGTGTCAGAAAAATTCATATTTGAAAGTACAGCAGGGAGGTAAGAACTCTATTTATATTTATAGGTAAAGTTTCATTAGTTTACATGCTGGTCTAAAACTAGGATGGAACAGTGAAGGGCCACTCTCCCAGAGCTGGTATAAAAATGAAATATTTTAAATTAATGCTTACCATAAACATAAAGCCATACCTTTATTTATTTATTTTTTAATCAACCTTTATTTCAACAGGCAAAACCTTAAGAACAATTTCTTATTTACAATGTTGGCCTGACTTCAGTTGTATTGCTACAAATTCCAAAAATGAAAAGATGCTATCTTACTTCTGTTGTGGATACTAGCAGAGGAAAATACAGCAGGTGGAAACATATACAGGTCATACTGTTTAGTGGTTAGAACTGTAGTCTCACAGCAAGATGGTCCTGGGTTTGATCCCCAGTTTGGACCTGGGGTTTCTCCTTTGTGGAATTCAAATGCTCTCTTCATYTTTTAATGGATTTTCTCTGGGTACTCCAGTTTCTTGTTGTCCAAAAACATGCATATCAGGCTGCCTTCAGGCCCAGGCTTCCTTTGCAAAAGAGATCTGTGATCTCAATGGGATTTACCTGGTTAAATAAAGCCTAATAAATGAATAAACGACTTCTCATATTATTATAACTTTTTTATACATATACATGTTGTACCTTTGGGCAGCCAAAGCTTTTAATCACAAAGTATTTTATACAATAGTCTTCTGATGCTTATTGTTAAGACCAGTGGGTCTGTTTTCACTGGTCACATGCCTACAGCTCAAACGTGTCAGTGCAAAAAAAAATAAAATAAATAAAAATGCATAACTCAAAAATACCTTTTTTTGAAGACGCAAAATGTATTTCAGCTTTATTTTTGTAGTATACAATAAGCCTATGAAATGGAATGTCAACATCCAGTGAAATTAAGCAAATACACTTTTGTCTAAGTTTTTCACTTAGAGCTTTGTGCCCTATTTCCACTTTTTAGCTGTGTTGTGAAAGCAAACAATAGGCGATGAAATCTCAGCTCTGATGCATTTTGACAGGCATAAAAACACTGCTAATGCTTAAAAGGGGAAATTATGAAAGCTGCAACTGCTGGTCACAGCAATTACTTCTTTATGATGCTAGTGCTCTTTAGAACATTTACATATTTGTTAAAACTCAAAATTCATTTAAAGGTATCTTTTATAAGCTGATAAAATCAGGCCTGTGACCTGATTAGTGACTCTGTCTAAACAGTAACAATAAGAAGCTGAGGATTTTAATTTGTTGCTGGTGGGTGTAGCTCACCCGCTCAGTGCAAGTCGCTGTTGTCCTTAGTTTCTCCTCAATCTCCTTCCCAATTCTCTGAACAGTCACTTGCGTCTGTTTGATGGCTCGCTGAGCTGTGTGAAGCCTGCCAGAGGGGAGAACACAAAATCTCATCATTATTTTACTAATACGCAGATCTAACAGAATACTCTTGAACTCAAATTGCATTTCTAGGATGTCATTTAAATGATTAGATGAGAAATACAAACAGTACAAAAGCAGTAAATTCATTTTTAACCTGGATGTTTATTGCGATTGTTTACATGACATGATATGAATAATGACTGTTTCCATGTGTGTAACTATCATTGTGCAGAGTGTTTATTATTATTCTTCATTATTTTCAATCCCTATAGAGGTTAATGATGAAAATTTGACATCAATTGGGTAAAAACAACAATGAGAACATTTTTAATAATACAAGTATACAGATGAATAACGAAGGATTACTCTGCAAAACAGAACAAAGTTTAATCACCTCTATTGTGTAACTGAGACGACTACAGTTCAGTTTGGGATCAAAAATCAACAGACATGAATCCATCAGTCTCAAGAAGCAAAAGATAAACTCAAAAAGTCCCGCTAATTAACCACAGCAGTGCACATTAGCCCATTTCCAAATTCCCCATCATGGTGATACCTAAAATTGAGAACAGCTACATCATTACACAAATGACAAGCAAACTCGTTATATAAACCAATCAACCCCAACAATCAACTTTCCAGAAAGTTTGCTTCTCGTCCTGAGAAATCCAGACATTACCCACTCAGCACCATCAATGGGACTCAATCTGTTGGAAAAATATGCATTGTTCAAAATGYTATGTCCGAATAAACAGGATTCAGCTGAGTTTCTTCTACAAAACTTTATTTTCAATCTTCTGACTCCAGTCAGGTGCATTCAGCGCTCAGCAGCACAGGCCTCAGCGTACAACCTTGGGCTGATATCAGGAAAACCCAAACACAGCAGCGCAACTCTGCTCAGAAGCAGAGACTCTAACACCCAGACAACTTTCCTCTACTATAATAATAAATTGGCCTTATAATGTACATCTCTTCCTGGTTACACCCCAGGAAGTGTTACCTTTTACGTCAGACGTCAGAACGTACTCAGTTTTGTTTAGGCTAAGAACATAAGACACACACCAACTCTTTGTCAGCTTCAGCCTTACAGACTGAAATGATCAGAAAGTATAAAATACAAAACTGAATCGAATATTCAATTAATCAGTTACAAAATTTCTTCAATCCCTCTCTTGACATATATAAAATATGTCAAAACTATAAGAAATTTTATGAAAACTTTATAAAGAGAAGTTATAACATCTGTTGTTACATCAGGATATTTCTAAACATTTCCCAACCCCAGAAATTCAATTTTTAATCCTCCCAGAGATAAATATATTAAATTCAGGGTGATCAATCTTGTAACTTTTTCCACTCTTCTAACTCCTCCTCTCCTTCCACAGCATTAAGACTCACAGTGCTCTGTTTATACTCTTGTTTAACAGGGCCCTCAATTTTCTCCCATCCTCTGTTTTCAGTTGATGTTTGGTGTTCTCTGGTGGAGGACAAGTGGTCAGTTTTTCTTCAGTTGTAGGTTGGGGAAATCCATTTTCTGGTTCCTCTGTTTGTGATGATGATGAGTCCAGATGTTCTTCCAGTTCAGCAGTTTGAAGTAACTCCCCTCTCTGTGGTTCTGGTTCTGCAGCAGTCTCCTTGTCAGCCACTTGCACGTTGTTTTCCATTGGTGTCTCAGTTTGCACCGGTTGTCCTTCAGCCTCAGACGTCAGCTGATCACTCTCCTGTTGTTTGGTTCCAGCCGGAACTTGGTTCAGGAAATACTTCATGTTTGAAGCTAACAGGTCCAATCCATGTCGGTTCAAAGTCATTCCATCAGACTTGAAGAGATGTTTTCTCTCCCAGAAGAGATCAAAGCTATCCACAAAACTCACAGAGTGGTCAACACAGGACTTTTCCAAAAAAAKCATTAAGGGCAAACAGTCTGCTGAACCTCTCAGCCCCTCCTCTGGCTGTAGGAACGAGCCCACTGAGGAACACAAAGGTTTTAGAGTAAGAAGGCCTTGGTGCTTTATGTGGAGATAAACCAAAAAACTCTCAGGAGCAGCACTGGCCCAGGCTGAATCTAAGGAAAAACTGAACAGCAACTAACAAAAAACTCTGCTCAAAAATAATGATGATTTGACCTTTTAACATAAGTCTCTTCCTAGTTACACCCATGAGGGTGTTACCTTTTAAGTCAGACGTTAGAACGTAAGAGGCAACAACTTTCATTCTCRGTTTTAAACCACATGGCTGCAATGATCAGTATAAAATACAATATTGGATCTAACATTCAATCACAAAATTTTCTTCACCGTATTTTATTGCCTATTTCAGTGGACCAATCATTTTATCTCAGTAGTCTTACTGACGACATTTCAATTTTCAACCCCCTATTTTTAACCTGCCTTAAGTYATAGAGCAAGCTTTCAGAAATAATCCTTAAGGACATCAGAGCAAATCTGTTTTGGCAACTTGATCTGCTCAGGTGATTGCAATAGGAGCATCTGATATAGCCTTTTCCCCCAGGTTAAAMCAGTTATCTATTTTCTCCTTTTCATGCATGTCTGCCCTCTTATCATCCTCCAAGTCTTGGCCTTACGCCTACTCATCACCTGCAGACCAGCAAGGAGAAGGAGGTTCCCACAGTCCTTTTACACCTGGACAACATTGTAACTTRTAGGCAACTGTCCAGAAAACATTAACTCATGACTCTTGACAACTTCCACTTTATGAGACACAAGACACATTGCAGCTCCATCACAAATAATTTAGAAAATTATGGCTGAGTCTGTGCACTCAACCCTTCATTCATAAAAAAAAATGATAAAGCATCTTATTGAAAGTTTTGAAAATCGCTGTCACTCTCTTTTTAAACAGAGAAAATGAACGTTTAATAAAAAATAAATAAATCGGACAAACTCCTCAACTTAAATAATTTGTTTTTTTATTCATTTGAGGTTACTGATGAGCTTTCTCTAAATGCAATCAATGGTTTCTAAAACCTGGCTGTGGTCATGCATTTTAATCTCTAATCTGTAATTGTGAAATGAAGGCAGGTAAGGAATTGGTAAATACAGAAATGTCATCTAGCCTAAACATGTGTTAAGAACTAGTCTGAAGAAGATGTAAGAGAAGAAATAGTATGTCTGAGAGAATAAAGAGCATCACATCAGAAGTCTATATGTTGCTTGTTCTTAAAAAAAAAGGCTAAAATCAAAAATATGTCAATTTGCATCAATAAACACCTACTTTGTCTTATTTGTTGTATTTACATAATTCTTCAAATCCTTTACTATGTTACAACAAAAATAGCTTCACTAGCATAAAATGGAAAGTAGCAAACATGTTTTGTTATACACGTGTTTCTTTTGTGTATTTAAATGACCAAAAAAAAAAAACAAAAGGGGGAAAAAAAGGTCAAAATCGATATAATTTCACACAAACTGCAAAAATGGGCCAGACAAAATGATTGACACCTTTTTGAAATTAAGAGTAAATTATCTTGTTTCGATCATGTCATGCTTGTTTACATTCACCCATGGTAAGTAACAACATACTGTATAAATCACACCTTAAACCAGATAAAATGGAAAGAATTTGACTCAATCTTTGATTTGTGCGGCATTTTCTGCTAATCTTCCTGGACGTGGGTGGGGCAAAAATGCCGTACATATTCTGCGTCACCGATGCTGACACGCGCAGAGTCACTTGCATACCCCCCCAAACACACACACATGCACGCACGCACGCACGCACACACACACACACACACACACACAGTCATGGTGGTAATGAATTTATTTTAAGCAACCATCATTCAGTGTCAAAGAAACAGGCCAGTCAGTTAAGAAATGCAAAACAAAATCCCCATGAACACTTCGACCAGAGACAACACAACACAACACAACACAACAGCAGGCAATCACAACACACTTCAGTTCTGCCTATATCTCATTGCAAAAGAATGTCAATAGATTTAACCACTTGCTGTTCACATCACCCCTCCGTTGTCTACATCTATGTGGAATGGAAGATAAGATAACAGTAGAGGAGTTCCTTTGGGAAYCCTGCATGGACCTCTCTCTGCCAGACCAATGAAGAGCTGCTAACTTGCTATAAAATATTTACACTAAAATACAACAAAGAAATGTACAAGCCAAAACAATTCAAATAAAAAGACAAGTTTAGTCTTAAAAGGGTCAAAAGGGGGTCACGCATTCAGGTAAATAAAGATGGGTGGAAGCCTCCTGGCTTTTGTCTTTCATAAAAATGAAACATTGTTGTCATTTTATGTATTGTATATAYAAATATCTAAGCCTTAAGGCCTAGATTTACTTTAAAAAAACCAAAGTGCCTGTCACCCTTCATGCCAGAGTTTTTTTGTAGCTTTTTTGGTCAAACATCAGACAGAGTTGAATCCTTAAACTTAACGGCAAATTTGAATCTAAGATCTAGAGTCTCAGCTACAACTAAAACTAAATTTAGGGTTAATATCTGAAAAATAGACTGAGGTTTTACTATTTTGGTTTTTGTTGTTTTAAGGTTGATCAGTAGTACCAGCRAACTTGAATTAGACTGGCCTAAACTTATTCCTAAACTTGTTCTTAATGTACACCTAATGATTATTCACTGAAAGTTTCATTGGAATTTGTCCAGATGATCAAAAGATATTTTTCCAACATCACAGACACACTAACACACAAAGGGCCCTTTTCCCAGTGGAAATGTTATTTGTGTTGCACTTCCGCAAATGGCAAGGCATGTATACTATATTTAGCTATGGAGGGAGACTGAGTCCCAAAGCATAGTGTTTAAAAAAATCTAAAGAAATTGTAAAAGTGTGGAGACATTTTTAATTAAACAGAAAAGACAACCTAGCGCAGTGTTTGTGCTTCATGCTCTCGATGTTTCAGCACCGGAACAGAAAACAGCTTCTGCATTCATCAACCGTGTACMGCGTTTTATTTTTTATATTCCCTTTACAGAATGTTTACTCAAATTTGTGATAATCTGTCATGT